AAATTGTAGATTTATGGTGCTAAATATCATAAAAATACTACTTCGTATTTACCGTTGTTCTTCGAACCAACTTTTATAGAATACTAGTTACATTTTCATATAACAAATGGCTATAAAAATGGTTATCAGTAAAGCCACTAATTATCATGCCAAAAATAAGCATTATTCGATAATTAATTAATTGCCATTTTACATATATTTGAAGGGAGGTACACATTTCGAAAGCTTTCTTGTCCCATGTTACATTTCGAAGGTGTTTATTGATGACAAAACCACCCTTCAAAAGTCACATATGTTACTAAAGGATTAAAGTTGTCCTTCGAAAGTGCTCACGACATCTCTTCGAACTAAATCCAAAGAGTTGGATTATTATAAAATTAGTTTGGCATTTTAACTAGCCATTAATGGCTATAAAATGATATTTCAATGAATAACCTACTTCGAAGTGTCTTGAGACATGCTTCGAAGGTAACCACAAAACCAAATGTGATGGTTTTATGGATCAACTAATAACAATATTTTTGGCTCAATATATTGTAATAATGAAATATTATTTGTTAGCCATTCCATAAGCCAACAATAGGAAAAATAAGCCAACAATTTTTAGTACGCCCAGTGGGACAGCCAAGTCTAAGAAATGACAAACTATTTGGATTTCGCCATTCGAACTTGTCAATATGAAATATATTGGCGTGAAAGAGAAATTTTGCATCTTCAAGAAGAGATCCATTTTCTTGATGAATTTCAAACTTAGTTTATTTATTATTTTAATAAACATCAATTATTAGTTCTTAATAATTGTTTATGACAGGTATTTTTTTCAACCATATAAAATTAACACAACTTTAAAAATAAAAAAAATAAAAATAAAGGCTATGGCGGCGTTTTTTGAACGTCACTATATCCCTACCCCAACGGTTAGATTTTTAAAATATATAAATGTCTTTGACGGCGTTTCCAAACGTCGCGAAATGTCATAGTGACGTCACAGTATAGTTATGGTAGGACATTTGGCGGCATTTTTAAAAATGCCGCCTATACTAATATAACAACGTTTTCGAAACGACATAAAGCTATAGCGACGGCCGCGTCGTCGGCGTTTGGTACTAAACGTCACAAAAATAATTAGCGACGTTTTTAGTACCTATAGCGGCGTTTTTAAAACGCCGCTAAAAGTCAATTTTCCAGGAGATGGAAGATCATGGAGAGACACATGGCAAGACAATAATAAAGATGGAAGAGTAGGGTAGTTACTAGGTAATTTTTTCCTACAAGTTTTTGTTTATAAATAGCCATTCATGGCTACATTGTAATCATCCACTCAAATCAAAGACATGATTTCTATTTTTCTCATCATTTATATTTCTTACACTTTATTTTCAACACTTCATTTTCGAAGCATAGGAGTAAAGGTAAATTAATGATTATTTCGATTATTCACCCAATCATCTTTCTTCGTTACCTTTCTTCTTCTTTTAATTTTTCTTTTCTCTACACATGTCAATTTTGAAGTCATCTTCATCCAGGCAAAAGAACCATTAATGCAATCACTTGATAATTGACTTGAATTTAATTTGTACGGATTTTTCAATCCTTACAAGCACGCTCGCATTTATGATATTTGCTTTCGTAGGAAAAATAAGCCAACAGTTTTTTGAAATGCTCAGTGGGACGTCAAGTGTAAGAAATGAAAAATGAATTGTATCCATTCCAAATAGCCTAGATGAAATAATCTGGCATAAACAAAAAAAAATTGGATCTTCAAGAAGAGATCCATGTTTTTGGTGAAACAAATTTTCATCCATTACAATATTATTTGATGTAAGAAAAAAGATAGCATTTAATTGGAAAAATTCATTAACTTGATATGGAAGTGTGCCAATAGAATGATGAGTTATTAACTTTCGCTACCAAATCTTTAACCAAGGCTTTAATGGCTAGAATTGGTGAATTTTTTTAAATATTTTTTTCATGGTTGCAAGTGACAAAAGCAAAGAGTTGGCTTCAGTAATGGTTCGGGGGATTGGAAAACCCATTGGTCAAGAGCCAACTTATGAAAGTAATTAACATGGCTAAAGTGCATGTTGTTGAGTCAAGCATGGTTAAAAATGATATTTCATATAAGGCTTAGGGGGTTGGAAAACAGTCAAACCATGGAAACAACATGCCTATGGAGGATTATCATAAGCCATTAATGGCTAAAATACCTACTAGGCCAAGAAATGATGAAACTTAAGTGGCCGAAGAATATATTCTTAAGCCAAACATGTCTAAGGATGATGAACAACCCAATGTTCATGAGTCCAAATTTTTTGAGATTGTTCAAGATGTCAAGGTATATGAATTTTCAAAAACCCATTTATGTGATGACTTCTATTGTTCAAAACCTATTTGGATTTATGGATTACACCAAAATATAATTTTGATGATGTGGCTAATAAAATTAACAAATTGTTCTTATGAGTTCGAAGCACTAAGAACAAGGGATGACCATTTAAAATGCATGAATTTAGCCAGAAGAAGCCTGTGCATTTAAATAAATGGTTGAGAATGGCTTATCTTTTCAAATTGATGGGCAGTTGATTGTATGTACACAATCAAAGCATCGAAAATACATTCGAAGCATCAAGAGTTGTTTCGAAGGTTGATTACTTCACCTTCGAAGTTGTATAAAGTTTTGAAGATACATTCGAAATATTAAGAGTTGTTTCGAAGGTTTATTACTTCACCTTCGAAACTGTATAAAGCTTTGAAAACTTTCGAAATGTGTACATCTCTTCAAATATATATAAAATGACAATTAATTAGTTGTCGAATAATGCCTGTTTCTGGCATGATAAGTTAGTTCGAAGAACAACAATTTTGGTGTCTTCGAAGAATTAATAATTGGTTCGAAGCACAAAATTAATATTTTCATTAATTATGTATGAACCAGAACATACAAAATGTGAATAACTACAATGTTGGCCAAAGGCTGCTTCGAAAGCTCTTTTGCCATAATTTTGTAAGCTCCGAAGCACTTCATCTTGCATTAACACTTCGAATAAACAATAATGGTGGTTGTGAACCTTCAAAATTTTGCCGAGTATTTCTAAGGATGTAATTTATCCTTTGTCGGCACTTTCAACCTTCGAAAGATGATTTTGGTCCTTTGTACCACCTTCGAAGCTTGTTATTAGTCTGTAATAGCTAGCATTCGAGACATCTAGTCATAATTTCATACTCATTCGAAACACTTCATTGGTGCTATTATATTATTCGAAGCACTTTGTTGATATTATTCGAAGCATTTTATTGCTTAGATTAGTCATGTGCTTGGTTCGGCCCTTCAAAAATTCAAGTAAACATCATTTTTAAGGGTCGCGGGGGGTAATGTTAGCACCATAAATCTGTAATTTTTATTATTATTTATTATTTATATAATTGCAGGACACGTGGCATCCTCTTATTCATTTGAAAGTTAAAAGAAGTTATAGAGATAATGGAGAATATGAAGGACAAAGTGGATGAGTGGGAGGACAAAGTGGATGAGTGGAAGGACACATGGCAAGACAATAATGAAGATGGAAGAAATGGGTAGTTACTAAGTAGTTATTTTTTCTTCTATAAATAGCCATTAATGGCTACATTGTAAAGAGATCCAGAATTCATAATCAAAGACAATTGATTTCAATATTTATTGTCATTTTCCTTATCTTAGGAGTAGTTTAACATTGATTTATATTTCGAAGCATTTATTTTCAGTATTTCCTTTTCGAAACATAGGAGTAGAGGTAAATAATTATTACTTTGATTGTTCACTCAATCGTCTTTCTCCGTCTCCCTCTTTCTTCTTTTACTTTTTCTTTTCTCTACACTTGACAATTTTGAAGTCCTCTTCGTTGAGGCAAAAGAACCATCAACACAATCGCTTGATAATTGGCTTGAATTTAATCTGTAAGGACTAATTGATCCTTACTGACACGCTCACAATTACAATAATAACCTTCGAAACCCAAAAAAAGCCAACAGGTTGAACCAAAGTTATTTTTGTTTCATTATCACGCACAGTCTCTAAACTAAAACTCTAAACCCTATCACATGACTGGTTTTGATCTATTTACCTTTGTATAATTTTGTAATTCACTTTTTTTAGTTTGGTCAAAGCCCAAAAAAAAAAATATTGAGCACTCTAGAGAAAACTTGTCAAACACAAAGAAATTTTTGAGGAAATCAGAGAAATTTTAACTCAAAGAAATTTCAAAGCATAGAGAAAATTTCAAAACACAAAAAAAATCAGAGAAATTAAGCTAACCAGATAAATTTTAAACTAGAGAAATTTGTCTGAAATTTGAAATTTCTCTGAATCAAAATTTATATGAATCGAAATTTTTATGAAAAAATATTAAAGAACTCCAACCAAAATAAAAATAAGCTTGTTTGGTTCCAGTTTTCAGAAAATAGTTTTTAGGAAATTTTTACTTTTTTATTTTTCGTATTTTAATATTTTCAATGAATTTTTTTAATATTTTAAGCATTTTTTTAAAAAATTTTTTAGATGCACCTAGCATAAATACACTTAAAAAATATAATATTAGTAAAAAAAATCTTTAAAAAATACACTAAATACCAAAAAATATAAAAAAATATGAAAATTCAGTACATTTTTGTATTTTTGTATATTTATTAATTTTTTAAAATATTTTTTTTAGATACATCTAAATAAGGTATATCTAAACAAATAAAAAAATTATTTAAAATTTTAAAAATATTCACTAAAAATAAAAAAATACGAAAAATAAAAAACTCAATTTTTAAAAAAGTGAAACCAAAACACTGAATATTATACGTTCTTTATCATATAAAAATTTAATCCCATGAACCTTAAAAAAAATCCCCCATAGGTGAACAATACACAATATTTTATTATTTTAAAATTATAAATTTCATATATAAAAAATATATTAATCCTACTTAAATTTAAAAATTTTGTAAATTTAAACAAATCAAAATATTTTATTGACACAAAATCAGGGACGGCGGAGCTTGTGTAACGCGATTCCTTAAAAAGACGAGAAATACTTTCCCACTTCCACCGGGCCAAGGCACCTCCGATTCTCTACACTCCTTTTCACTTTTGTTTTTGTAGTAGTAATACGTATTAGCTTCTCCTCATCCGACGATCATTACAGCAGAGAACAGTCCTCTCTCTCTCTCCAATTTCTAACCCGTTTATCTGATCACAATCAAGGGTTTCTGATCATTCTCAGCATCTAGTTCTGAATTTCCCTCGATCGATCTCTTTTTATATTGTCTTCGAGTATGGGCGGTGGTGGTGGTGTCGCGGAGGCAAGCGAATCGGACGCCGGTGTCACAATTCACATCCGATGCTCCAATGGCTCCAAGTTCTCTGTTCAGATCACCCTCGTCTCCACCGTTGGATCATTCAAGTCCGTCCTTGCTCACAACTGCGACATCCCGGCGGAACACCAGCGCCTCATTTACAAGGGCCGGATCTTAAAGGACGATCAAACCCTACAAAGCTACGGTATGTCCTATTCACACTCTGCATACTTGTATATATTTATATTTATGTGAGTATAGATTTTTTGTATTAGCTTTGGAATTCGCTGAATTTACTCGTCTGAGTGTCGATCATTGTGTTGTAATGTATGGATGTGTTGTTAATTGATTTAGTTTTTTAGTTTGCTTGCTATTTGGATAATTTGATAAGGGATTTAGTTATTTAGTATGAATATACAAGGCTTGAATTGATTTGGGCTTTTATCATAGGGTTTGTTGTTTTGATTGCCCAGCATTCCATATGTGATGGTGGTTTCTAATTTGCTATTTTTTATTTCTTATTTTTATGGGTATAAATAATTTACTTTGGCTGGAAAATTTGAGAAAGGAATGCTACGAATTTGTTCAACAACACAAGCTTGAGCATGCTTGGTGTACAAAACAGAGACATGTGCAGAACAAAAAGAAAAGAAAAAGGAGAAATAGAAACTCAAGTAATAAACACAAATTGCAAATTAAGAGCATTCTGGAACTCCTGTGAAGGAGAACTTCTTTTTAAGTATGTGAAAAATCCAAACAAAAGATCCTTTTATTTATTTATAATTTAAAAATTCAAACTGTGGGTTGCTTCTCTCTTAATTTTGCATATAGTTAGAATAAAGCTGGAGCATAATCAGCTTCTTCCATTTATATACTTAAAATAAAACAAATGCTCCAGGCCATGAAGAAAATGGAAGTGGATTTAGGCATTATTAACCAAATCATGAACAAAGAAGGCATTGATATCCAAGATCCTCCCATCACAATGCAAAAGCAACTGATTTTGTGACTTACCACCTCGTCACATATCACAGATCTAATTGAAAAAAAAATATTACCCTTCCTACTATTAAGCAAGTATCTTTACTGCTCCATCCAGTTGGGCACACCATTTTTTGCTTTACCAAACAAATTTGTGTCCTTTCCAAAGGGGAATTGATGTTTGCAAAACTTCTATATATAGCATTGTCACTTTAATGATCTCTCTGAAGTAAATCTTTTGAAAAAAAAACGAAGCACTGATTTGCATGTTAATTATCATGCATTTGTTACCATAAGAAAAAACAATCTCATTGTTAAAATAAGATGGTTAAGTTGGTTTATTCATGGAGCCTGTTGCTTGTGCATGGGTTAGTAGAATCTGAAGACCTCCTGCACTGCTTGTTGGCATGCTTGAACACGATCTTCTCAACATTTCATTTTGCAAACTTGTTGTGTATTTTTAGCCTTTTGCTTGATTGGAGCCTACTTTCTTCTTGTACCATGCATAGATATGATGCATTCATTTTCATAACAAAGAATCGCCTCAATCTTACATAAGATGGTTAATGGGGTTTTAACACGTGGAACCCTTTACTTTTGTATTGGTTAATAGTTCCTGAATACCTTTTTGCACTGCTGTTTTAAGTTTAATTTTAACTAATTCGAAGACAATACCTTTTCAGCATATCAGTTTACTTACTGGTTGTGCTTTTCACCCTTCTGTCTTAATGGCCCCCTGAGTTTTGTCCCATATATAGATGTAGCCTTTTTTTTTTTTGATAAATAAATAAATAAACTTTATTAGAAAGGCATCAAGACGATGCAAGGAATACAAAAACAGCCCACAATGGCCCAAACAAAACTAACTAATCAAATCCTCCACAAAATCTACAAAAACCAAAACATTTGGATCAACCGAACCTGTAACCCAACTATGCAACACCATCAATAACCGGTTCTCTAACCATGAAGCGGAATGGCACGCATATTGAAAAACACACATATTCCGCTCCAACCACACCAACCAAAGCAAACAATGAGAAGCAAGAACCCAAGCCTTCTGACGCCTCTTCCCCACCCCAGCCCCACCGCAACTTTGTAACACACCCAGCACCGACCCCGGTTGCACCCCAACTTTCTATTCCTTGGATGGATCCTGTCTATGTAAGCAACATCATTGAGAACTGTGTGAGTATTCTACCTAAACTTGAACTATCTTCTTTCATTTTCCTTTCATGGTTAACAGGATTGGAGGCAGATCACACTGTCCACTTGGTTCGGGGCTTTGCGCCAACTGCATCAACCAACACTGGACTTCCAAATTCTACTCCAAGTGGTGTGAGGTCTGTTGGTTCTGACGAAGGTGGGGCATTTGGAGGATCTGGTTTGGGTGATTCGCTATTTTCTGGACTTGGTTTCAATGGATTAGGTGGGAACAGTGGATTATTTGGAGCTGGACTTCCAGAATTTGAACAAGTGCAGCAACAGTTGACTCAAAACCCTAATATGATGAGAGAAATAATGAGCATGCCTGTTGTTCAGAACCTAATGAATAACCCAGATATTATGCGGAATTTAATAATGAACAACCCTCAGATGCGTGAGCTCATTGATCGAAATCCAGAGCTTGCTCACATACTCAATGATCCTAGCACTCTTCGTCAGACGTTGGAGGCTGCAAGAAACCCTGAACTCATGCGTGAGATGATGCGTAATACCGACAGAGCGATGAGCAATATTGAAGCTTCTCCTGAGGGATTTAACATGCTGAGGCGCATGTATGAAAATGTCCAAGAGCCTTTTCTAAATGCAACGACTATGGCTGGGGATACCGGAAATGATCCAGGCTCAAACCCATTTGCGGCTCTCTTGGGGACACAAAATCAGTCAACTAACCCTGCAAGCACTGGTACTGAAACTATGGCAAATTCTCCTGCTCCAAATAGTAATCCACTTCCAAATCCTTGGGCCTCTGGTGGGGGTAAGTTAAGTTCTCACTTCACTGGTTTTCTTCTTTAGGATTTTGGATGTTTTGTTTATAAGGCAGCTGACTTCAATCCTTAACTTGACCTTATTTTTCTTTGCTCATCTCATCTCATCGTTGTTGTTATTTGTTTTATTTTTTTGGACAAAATGTGAACTTATATGTTGCTGATGTCAGAAGTGGAAGGTATTTTTATTTATTTTTATATTTTTGCAAGTTATTCCAAAGGTGGTGTCTTAGCTGCTGGAGTCGGCACTGATCTATACTTCCTCGGTGTTTTATTCAGTCTGGGTTGTAGGGATATCTTGCTCATAAAGCTTGTCATTTTAATAAGGGAGTCAGCATACGACAGTTTTGAAGTTGAAAATGTTTGGTATTCCACATATTGACATACATATAGAGTATTATAGTTGAAAATATTTGTGCAATTTATAGGCCATATCTACATTAAATTTTACTTCCAAACTAGTGAGATATTGTTTCTTTTCCAAGTTTGTTATCCCTGTTCAATGTTTAAAATGTGTCAACTTTTTTCCAAGTCAGTCATTGTCTAAAATTTCCTTCTAAGAAAATTATACTGAATTGTTACTAACGTATTGTTAACTTTTTGTGAATCTGGCAGCAGGAGGTGCCCAAACAAACTCCACTACAAGATCAAATCCTGCTGGGGATACTAGGCTGCCAGCACCTGGTGCTGTTGGTCTAGGTGGCCTTGGTCTCCCAGAGTTTGAGCGCATGTTTGGTTCTATGCAGGGTACTGCTTCATTGAGTCAGTTTATGCAAAACCCAGCTATGTCACAGATGATGCAAAGTCTCCTCTCCAACTCTCAATACATGAATCAGGTAGTAATAGTACTTTTTTTTGTTATGTAATATGGTTCATAGTTGACTGAAATTTCTTATTCTGTATCGTATCTCGATTGGTAGATTCTTGCTTTGAATCCCCAGCTGCGCAATATGCTGGATTCCAATCCCCAACTTAGAGAGATGATGCAAAACCCAGATTTCATTCGTCAATTGATGTCTCCTGAAACAATGCAGGTACTTCACTTCAAATCTGCCTCTGTAATGCACTCTCTCTAACTCACTATACATATGTCTATCATATAGAAAAAAAGACCTGGAGCTGTCCTGACTTGCCTCCGTAGTAAAATCTGTTATGTTGCTTATTAGCATGTTAATGTGTTGCTTGCAGTTTGTATTATTTAGGAATTCTCTATTTCTATTGTGTTTCAATAAGAGGTTAACAGTAGTGGTCGAGTTTTCTTTCCTTCTCCTTTCATTTATTTATTTTTTGGGAATTGTTTGTCAAGGACTATTTCTATGTTTTCTGAAAAATAAAAACAGAAAACAGAAACACAATCAAACTGGCCCTTGGGTTTCAACCAAGGTCTATAATTTCTTTTGTCTTCATTTTAACTCAATAGTCGCTCTCGAATCCCATGTATTTGGATTGACTATTTAAAATCTATTTTTCCGTTTAGATTGGTTTTATTTTTTGCTAGACCAGTTGCAAATATCTATTCTCACTGTCTTAAGTTCTCACCCCATGTCTGTTCTGGTTCCTGTTTTTTTGAACATTATCAATTAAAATTACAGCCACTGCATGCCAGCTGGGTTCTTTTACAGGAAAAGAAAATTATTCATGTAAGCATCATGTCATAAAGAAGAGCTACTACATACAGAAGCAATAATGAAAATGAGACATACAATTTATGCTATACAGCACACCAAGTAATGTAGCACTGCAAACCAAGTAACTGGTCTGGCAAGATGTCTAAGTTCAGGAATGACACTAACAGAGTCTTGTTAGGAGAAAAACTTGGTATTGGAAAAAGAAAAAAAAAAAAGAGTAAGAAAGAAGTGGAGCATGAGTTTTATCAATTAAAATTACAGCCACTGCATACCAGTTGGGTTCTTTTACAAGAAAAGAAAATTATTCATGTAAGCATCATGTCATAAAGAAGAGCTACTACATACAGAAGCAATAATGAAAATGAGACATACAATTTATGCTATACAGCACACCAAGTAATGTAGCACTGCAAACCAAGTAACTGGTCTGGCAAGATGTCTACGTTCAGGAATGACACTAACAGAGTCTTGTTAGGAGAAAAACTTGGTATTGGAAAAAGAAAAAAAAAAAAAAAGAGTAAGAAAGAAGTGGAGCATGAGTTTTGCATAAAACAAGTTGAGTACAAAGTTTGCATTTTGCATTAGGGTATTTTAGGAGTAAGAGAAGCATAGAAGTGGAATGCTTGGACCATAGCCTCGTGTTGGTAAGTTTTCATTTTTTCTTCATATTTAGTTTAACGTTTTGATGTAAGACTTTTTATTTGACTTTATACATTATAGTTGCTACTTTCAGATACTTACAAGAAGCCATGGCAGGAAGTTTCTACCATGAGTTTAGTCTTGATAATTAACTCTGCAATTGATCATGTAACGATGTTAACTGATTGATGTAGTTTCATGATGCAATCAGGAAAGACAACTAGAAATGAATATATTTGTGAAGTGGTAGGAGTAGCACTAACTGAATATAAGTTGATAGTGATTAGGTTAAAATGGTTTGATCATGTACAATACAACGCTAATGAAGAGTGTTATAATCACCATAAATGGAAATGTTAGGGGAAGAGGAAGGCCTAAACTGACATGAGAAGCTGTTGGTAAAAAAATAAATTCATTTAATTTAACTGAGGACATAACCCTTGATAGAGAAAAACGGAGAAAAACGATTCATGTAGCTCACCCTACTTGATTTGGACACAAGTTTGATTTGGTTTGGATCTTTTAAACTTGGAATCCAGTTGTCCCCCTTTTTAATTCTATTTTGTCCACCGTTTTAATTCTATTCTGTCCACTTCTTGGACTTGGCATGGGAGATCCCAAAATCATGATTGGCATGCAAACATGTCGGAATCACATCATATTTGAACCTAGAGAGGGAGCTTTCATATTTGTAGGGACCATTCAACATCCACATGTGTATATGTGTTTGTCCACAGACAATCAACGATGAGTCAATTGAATGTCTGTATGCATGTGCATATGTTTGCCTTTTTAAATTTTGTTTTTGGTGCTAATTTGTTCACCTTGTTTCTTTATTTCTTCATTCCATCTCTTTCTTAACTTCTGTTTTCTCTGTTTCAGCAACTATTGACTTTACAGCAAACTCTTCTATCTCAGGTTGGTCGGCAACCACCAACCCGGTAAGTGATTTTACTTTTAAATTTGTTTGGTAACAGAAGCTAACTTCAAGCCTGGCAATCTTATCATTTCCAGTTCCTTTATCAATGTACACTTTTTTTTCATATAGCAGTACACAATTTTTGAGACAATCATTATGCCCATGTTAGTGTCCAGATTATTTTAACGTTGCCTTTTCTGGTTTAATACACCTTTAAGACAATCATATGCAGTTTTGGTGATTAGAATTTAGCCCATTATTTTCTTGTTTTGCTTATACGAAATTGCACCATTGCAGGGAAGTGGGTCAAACTGTTGGGGGAAGAGGTACTTGTCTCTGGAACTTGAAATTCAGATTATATATATCTTTTACCATTATGCTCAATAGTTTTAAATCCAACTGTTTATTCTTTGGCCTCACCTGAGATGCCTGCAATAGACTTGCTTCATTCATGTAATTGGTTTGTTGAATGTCACTTAATTACAGTGGTGCTTGTCATTTATGTTGTCACCTTGTCTAGCAACATCTATTACAAGTTTAAAATTCTTTGCAACAATGATGGAAACTTGTCAGTGGCATTTCTACAATAGAGATCTCATGAGATCCTTGACAACTGTTGGTATGATAATCTTTTGTTGAATGTAGAGGATGCTGTAAGCACAGCATGGCTATCTGAAATCTCTCTTGATGTTACCCCATAAAAGATCTTTTTCCGGACAAGTAAAAAATGAAAACAAAATAAACAAGACAAAGGAAGCCGCCATTATACAGAAATTTTCTTTTGTTACTTTTTTAATATATATATATATATTTGGTGCTCTATCTCACAGAATGAGTGTCATTGTTTTCCCAACAGACAACATGGGGTTGGAGATGTTGATGAACATGTTTGGGGGACTTGGGACTGGAAGTCCAACCATTCCTAACAGACTGAATGGTGACTATGATTTCCTTTTCGGTTGTGCCCTACTGATTCATGCTTTGCCAGTCTAGTCATAGTTTACTTTTCTGTCTTATCTTTTATAGTGCCCCCGGAAGAACAGTATGCCACTCAGCTCTCACAGCTACAAGAAATGGGTTTCTTTGACACCCAAGAGAATATACGGGCACTGATTGCCACTGCAGGGAATGTTCATGCTGCAGTGGAGCGGCTTTTGGGGAACCCTGGTCTGTAGATTATGATTGTCATTGTTATTATTCTGTTCACTATGACATATTGTCAGTCAGGGGCCCGATGAAATTGGTTTTGACAGACTCTGGAGAGGTTTTCGAATCTTATTTTGGTTATGAATGAGTACAGATTATGATAGAACTCTGAACTTGTTGACATAGGATATGATTATGAGAATTCCCCCCCTGCACCCCCGCCCCATATATATTTATATATAGAAGACAAAGGGAGATTTAAATGCTATGTACATAAACTATTAAGACTTGTTTCTCATAAATTGTTTACATAACACAAAATTATCCCCCTTTTTTTTTTGCGCGGGTAATTGTACTTTTTCCTTTTCCTTCCGCTGTGTGGAGAAAATTCGGATAATTGTGATTGAACCTAATTATGCTGTTTAGTTTTGCAAATTTCATTCTCTAGATGCTATGATCTGCTGGTTGAATTGGTGCTTGGTACTAATGATCTGACTTCTATATTTCAACCAACTCTTCCAACTTTTACAAATCTCCCGAATATTATGAATAATCCATTTTTTTTTAAAAAAATTTGGAACTATTTTGAATAATTATAGCATAAGGACCTATATTTAGGAGTCTGTCTGACACATTACTCATATACATTGCATTATTATCGATGTATACCCCGAGTGACAGATTATCTGTAATAGTTTGGTGGAAAGTAAAATTGTTTAGATAATAAATTGGTGGAAAGTAAGCATCAATTTAAAACAAACACATAGTAGTGATTAAAACTGAAAATTTGTGTAGAAAATGGGAGGGAAAAGTGTGTGAGATGAAAATTTAATTTAAGTATGTTTTTTCAGTAAATAATTTTATTTTTTTTTCATTTCAAAATTTTGGTTTAAAATTTGAAGGAGGTAACTCTTGTTTGTTTTTTTTTTTTTTTTTAAAGATTGTGAAGGAGAGACTTAAAAGGGAAAGATTTAGGGGAAAAAATTAATGTTAATTAATGAAAAAATTTATAATTCATTTATTTATCTGGTAACTAAACTCGATTTAAGAAGTCAAATATTCAATGTAAAGTTATAAAAATTTAATGATAATTAATGAAAACTTTCCTAATTCATTTTTTTACCAGTAATGATTCAGACTCTCACAAAACGTCACCCCTACAACTCCTACTAACTTGTGATTGGTCCAAGTAAGAAAGAGAAAGAAAGAAAAAAAAAAATACAAATACATCATTGATCCACATCACTGTAGGAGTGGTAGGGGTCTCCCCAAAAGGGTTTCTAAACAAATTTTTTTTTTTTTTATATGGTAACTAAATTTAATTTAATCAAGGAGTTCTAACCTGAGTGATTAGTCCTTTGACCATTAAGTCTTTCTTAAAATGAGGTTTTAGGTTCTATTCTTAAAAATGAAATAGAGGATAAGTGTTTCTAAGGAGAGGCTGAAAGTTCAACTATCTCAATGTGATAATTTAACAACTAACTACTAATTTTTATCAATAGATTTTTTTTTTTAATTTAATTTAATTTAAATAGTCAAATATTACAAAATCCTGTCTTTAGAGCAATACCATTAGGAAAAATCATTTTTATGTGAGTAGGACCTCCAGTCAGTCCCTCTTTTCTTTTCTTTTTATTATTATAGATAAGACAATTGATAGAAGAGGAATACTGCCCCATTAAAAGAAATTGCATTGTGCTGCGGTGTGACGATGATCCTAGTATAGAGCACAACTTAAAAACCGTGCAGTCTCCACGTAGAGATTAAGATTAGACTATTCAGTCTGTATTGTGGGTCAATTTTTGAGTTTCGTTTTAATAATTTAAATCGTTTACATTTTAAGATTCGTTGAGTATATCATTCATACAAAAAATTAAATTGATCGAATAATGGAAATCACGTATTTGAATCAATTTTATATGAACTATTTATTTTCTTACTGTCTATTTTTTTATTTAAAACTTATTCGAACACATATAATCCGATCGACTTGATTTTTTATATGAATAATATATTTAACAAATCTTAAAATATGACGATTCAGATCGTTTAAACATGGCCCAAAAATGAGCCCACAATGCGGATTGGACGAGTCCAATCTTGATCTCCAACTGGATATGGGCTAGATCCAGAAACACTTCATTCTCAAACCTCCAATTTGACATGCTCAAAATTTGAAAAATTTTAGTGCTTTATTTATTTATTTTTGTGTGAGTTTCTTAGTACATAATTAGCGAGTTACTCAAGTTTTCTAACCATTATTATTATTATTATTATTATTATTATTATGTTAGGAAATTTAGATTTCTTTGAATTTATAAAATTTTCTTATATATCAATTTTGTATTTTTATTCTCCACATAAAACTCCAACACAACCAAACAGAATGACAGTATCAAAATCCACCACCAGTGACAATGCAAATATTTATTACCTTCTCATCATTTTTGTTTTGATTTTTGTTTAATTTTTTCTTCTCTGACCGATTAATATTAATTCAATAATAGTACACTGTTATCTTTTTATTTGTATATTTACTTTATTTATCATCTGATATATACGATGCATTCTTCATTGTACGTGCTATGATGCTATCAAGTTTTCCCATTTCCGGTGCATTTGTTAAGCATATTAGCTAGCTCACAAGTGTTACCGTTACGTCTGTTAATGACTTATTTGGGAATTAATTATTTTAATTGATTTATTACCAAAAGATATGTAAAAAAATATTTTTAAAAAAATTGATGTAGCAATTTATAATAATTTTTTTATTTTTTTTTATCTATTTTAATTATTTTCCAAAGAAAGCCTAAGTATATATATTAAGTCCACAACCGTCTATATTAATGAAACATATGTGAAACCCCACAATGTGAGTGTTTGACAAGTTAACTATTTTAATTTTTGGACTATTTTAATAGATTAAAATAGTTATGTTTGGAAAGATAGTTAAATTTTTTTTTATAGTTGTATGTGATATGATGTGATGTGATATTTATAAAAAAAAAAATAATTATAAATTTGATGTGATATTTTTTTTTATTAACTATTTTGATCTAAAAAGTCCAACTTTTTTCTCCCCAAATATCACTTGTTGTCAATATGCTACATTCAGTAATTAGGTAATACATAAGACATATGATATAAAAATAAAAATGATGATAAATAGTATAATATTAATGATATGTTAGTTTGTTCCACTGAATCCACCCATTTAGACATCAGCAATGTTAGGTATCATGAAAAATCTTTCATGAAAATAATCATAAAAGTTTTGTGACCCTTGGATTACACTTAGAATAAAGCACCACACACTAATCAAGGTAATTCAAAAATTATAAATCTCTCATAATCATTTTCATGAAAAAAAAATTCATATGGTTATACTCGTCCCAAACCGGCGCCAAAATGTAACCGTTAGATTCCCGCCTTTACGATACGGTACCAATCGCGACACCATAGCCATGCACCGCGCCATCAATCTCCCCTCCGATGAGCAAATCTGGACGGCACGTCTGCATTACCCTCAACACGGACGGTAGAAGATGAAGCGACGTAACCTTTCTTATAAGCCAGATACATTGGGAGTAAACAACGGCTAACTGCTATCATCAAATTCAAAATTTTCCCACCAACATATATATAGGCCACCCCCAAGCCATTGCCACCACATTCAAAACCCTTTCTGATTCTGTGAATTATTATTATTATTATTACTCAATCCAGTGTTGAGACAATGACGAACCCACATGGCAAAGACTCTACCACCAACCCCCCTCCCAACACTAGCGAAGCCCCGAGCCCTCGGCGTGTTGGAGAAGGACCATCCAATACTTCTCCTCCTGCCTCTGGGCAAGAACTTGAAACCCCGAGGCCTAATGTTGCCGGGACTAGTGTTAGACCATCCGGACAACCAGTACTCGGGGCTGGAGGACATGTTGGGGAGGGTGGTGGTGTTGGCGACACTACCAGTGTTGGAGGAGAGTCTACTAGTGGTGGTGTTGGTGTGGGAATGGGAATGGGAATGGGAATGGGAGGAGTGTCTACTGGTATGGAAGTACTTCAAATTGAGGCTACTGCTGGTGGTGGCGGCGGGGTTGGTAGTCAGAGGAAGAGAACTCGAGAAGGGATGGATGCAGGAGAAGGATCTTCGGCAGGGCAAGGCGGAGAAGCTCCTCCTCCACAGGGAGTTTTTCGCTGCTTTGTATGCGGCAGAGATGATTTTCTCAACCACCACAGCTTAGGGGGTCACTTGAGGACCCATCCAGAGCGTTCCTGGAAGGGTGCTTTCCCACCTCCTGTTTTCAGTCGTGAAGAGTTTGGTGATGTTCTAGGTCTCGTCGGTGGTGCTGGTGCTGGTGCTGGTGCTGGGCAGGCGGCGGAAGTGGTGGTGGCTGCGCCGCCACCGGTTCAGAGGGAGGGTGGGGAATCTAGGGATCAATTGGATCTGAATGCGTTACCAACTGCAGATGAAGAGGAGCCAACACCTCCCAACGAAGAGGAACCTCCTCCTCCTCCTTCTTCTATAAAGCTGGTTCAGGACTTGAACAAGTTACCACCACCAGAAGAAGATTGATGATTCTCTCAAACACAATAATCTTAGATGATCATATTTTCTTATCATAATTTATTGTGTTAAATACTGTGTTGGTTTAACGAATCTCACTACTTATACTTGTTACCAATGCAAGTTGCAGTGAGTGACACATAATATCATAAAAAAAATATGATAAAAAAAAGAAGATATAATTATCATAATATTGTTGTTCTCAGCAATTCATTGCTTTTTTCTTTTTCCCTTTAGAGTTGAAGTTTGTTTGTTTGTTTTTTTTTTTTTTTTAAAATCCTTTTTCTGCACAGTTTCTCTTTGTAAGTGTTGATTGGTGGATCTCTATTTCTGTTAAAGCTTCTTTATTCCAAAAAAGAGTTTTGAGTCTGTAATAATGGAATGAAGATTGGTAACTAAGTTCATGATCAGATCATTTGTTTTGCAGTTTCTCTATTTTACTTAATGCAAAAATCAGTTACTAATGGGACCTATAAAAAGATGTACATCCATAGAAAATTGTTTCGTGGTTGACAAGGATGGATCTGGGGTGAGGGAAGGGTGGTCGCACTACTTAGTAAAATAATTTTAAATTGGAATACTTTGCACTCCAAAATTTTAATTGTTTGTACCTTTCAAATTAATTATATTACAAAATTTTAAAAATAATTTTTAAACTGAGTTTTATCAAATATTAATCTATCTATTTATTATTTGTTATATTTCTATTGTTTATTATATTCTTATAATTATTCTTATTTTATGTACATATATCATTTATTTATTTTTTCTTCTTTGATAAAATTATGCTTTAATTTTCTTATGCATCTTATTTTGCATTCATTCTTATTTATTTATTCTCTAAAAATAGGAATATTGTATGGGAATAAAAATATTGTCTACTTCAATATAACATTCTTAAAATAAGTTCATAAAATTTAATACCGCTTATTGAAATGGATTATCATTACACTCATAAAAACGTACATTTTCAATTATAATTTTTTTTTTCTTTCAAAACTAAACTGCATAATAAGATGAAAAATGATTTGTAGCAAGTTATTTGATCATATTTATTGAGAAAGAGCTATTAATTAAGATTTTGATGTCTAATTTATCATAGATGTTTTTATATATGTTAGATTACAACATTTTTAAATAGACAGAAACATAGTAATAGTTAATATTCTGTTGTAAACAAGTTCTCATGTTATAAAAATTTAAAAAATTAACGAATCTAATCATCAAGTGTGGAGCCTATAGGCTCAAATTGGATGGTCTAATATGAAAAAGTAATTTTAAACTTGTTACAATACCGACTTTTTTTTTAAAATTTTTTTTCAATGCTACTCTGAAATTTGGTGTCAAAAGTTATTTTTTTGAATGCCGTTCACTTTTTCAGCTTGATCATTGTATCATATAATAGTTTAATTCTATTTTGCCACTCCAAATTTATTATATTTTTACTTATATATACTATGTTTAAAACAAACATATATAAATTAAAACAGAAAAAACTGTGTAGAATGGGATGGCAGAGTGTGTGAGACGAAATGTTAATTTAAATTTTTTTTTTTCTATTCTCAAATTTTGGTTTGTAAGTAGAATTGTAACTACTTTAAAATTTTACAAAATTGTAATTCTTAATGTGATTTAGATTTTGGCCAAATTAAAATTTTAAGATCTTACAATCTAGATCGAAATTTTAATAAGATTCGATTTGGTTTCCATCAAAATGACTGTTGGGATCTTTTTCCATTTATGGAGAGAATTTATTTATGTAGGTAGGATCTCTATCTAGCCTGTGTATTTAAATTTAAAATAAAATAACTAATATGAGGGAAATAGGGTAATAGAAATTGTATGATGCAAGGATAAGACTGAAATCTTGACATCATGCTCAATAAAAATAAAAATAAAAATAAAAACACACATCATTCTGAAATACTCAAAATTTGAGAAATTTTAGTACTTTTTATTTATTATTTATATTTATTTTGCCAAACGATATCCATAAATAGAAGGTAGGGGTTAGGTGTTAGTGAGGGAGAGGGATCCAATAGGGAGAGGGAGAGTGTCATGCATGACATTCGAATCCAGGTCACTCGATCAACAGGCCAACTTACATGCCATCACACGCTAAAAGCCCTTGGCAATTTCAGTGCTTCTCTTATCTTTATTGTGTGTGAGTTCCTTTGCATATAATTAGAGCTCTAAAGGGTGTGTGAATTTTGAATTGGAGGGGCTGGACTTTCTGCATATTACAAAACAAGCTTAATGCAATCAAATTGTTTACTAAATTTGAATTTGTCCATGAATTTTTAGTTCATCAGCTTTAATATTCTTTGGTGCAAGAATTTAGCAATAGAACTGAAATTTGTTGGGCCAGAATTGAACTTGCAGTTTTATCATGGCCTAGGTGAAAGGAAATTACTTTTCATTCATTTTTTTATTGCAAAGAAACATCAATAAAAGAGGATTGTGGTAAACAACATCATTATTTTAGGAACATATTCCAATTAAATTAGCACAACATATTTCAATTAAGTTGGCACAAGAAAACGAAACCAATCATATGCTAATAGCCAAAACAACATAGGGGGTTGAGTTTGTTTGCTTGTGTTGTTGTATTTTAAACCTTTTGCTTTAATCTTGTTTGGTTGGTTACTCACCAACTTATTGTGATGCTAGCATATGATTAAACTTATTTAATGGTGCCAATTTAGTTTGGATCATTTTGTTTTGCTATGATACTTGTGCATCCACCGTCTTTATTGATGTAATGTAATGATTTGATTTCTTTCATCAATAAAGTTTTTTTTGTTGATCAAAAAAATATTCATTTGGTTATTGTAAAATTGAAAAAAAAAAAAAAAAGAACAAAAAAAGAACGAAGAAAAGGAATAATGGAATCACATGTAAAATTCTCACAATTCAGATCAACATCCACAAGTGGGACGACGTAGAGATTTGCATCATCTTCATCATTTTTTGCTTTTGTTTTCACCTTTTGTTTCTCCTTTCTTAATGACTAAAAATGAAAATAAATTATTACTACAACTAATTCAACAATATTATAGTTATATCATTTTCTTATTTATATTATTTTATTTATCATATGATAAATACCACCACCACAACAACAATAATAAAATAATAATAGAGCTTATATGAAAACCACTGTATCACTTGTTGTCAAAATGCTACATTAGGTACATAAGATATACGGTACAAAAATAAAAATAAAAATAAAAAAGATAAGAAATATAATATTAATGATATTTAATTTGTTCCATTGAATCCACCCATTTAGACATACACCCTCGTGCGAGAATAACAGATACATGTTTTTCTTAATCGTTACACTATTTTACAAACGGGGCGCCAAAATTTAACTGTTAGTTTCCCGCCTTTAGGAGCACCGCATCATCAAACTCTCCCAGGCTATAATGAGCAAATCTGGACCGTACGACTGCATTACCCACAACACGGTCGGTCCAAGATGAAGCGACATAACCTTTCGTAGATACTAATAATAACGGCTAACTGAAAATAACTGTCAAATTCAAAATTTCCCCACCAACTATATCTATATATGTATAAGGGGCCTCCCCTAATGCCACTGCCACCACATTCAAAACCCCTTTTGTTCTTCTTTTTCTGAATTATTCGATCTTCGACCGATTCAGCGTTCTCTCTTTGGTGCAAGACAATGTCAAACCCAGGCGGCAAAGACTGTACCAGCCCTCCCAACACTGGCAAATCCTCCTCAACGAGTCCTAGCCATGTTACTCCTCCTGCCGGGTTTAGTGTTGTCCCACCACCAGTTATCGGTGATGTTCTTGCCTACGTCCTCGGTCGTGATCAGCCCGCTGTGGGTGATGATCAGCCGGCTGAAGTGGTGGTGGCTGTGCCACCACTGGACCAAAGGGAGGGCGGAAATCAATGGGATCTGAATGAATTACCTGCTGCAGCAGAGGAGCCATCGCCATCGCCATCACCGTCACCATCACCGTCACCATTGTCTCCTAAAGAAGAGGAACCTCCTTCTTCTTCTTTGATAAAGCCAATTCCGGACTTGAACATGCCGCCACCACCACCAGAAGAAGATTGATGCCTCTCTCAACACAATATATAATGCTACATGATCATTTTTTTTTTAATAATAATTTGTTTACTACTTTATTATGTGACACATAATATGCAGCCATAGTGACACAATATCGTACATAAACAAAATATGATTAAAAATCAGCAATTCCGAGTTTTCTTTCTTTTTTCTTTGGACTTGGTGTTGTCGAAGTTTATTTTCTGTACAGTTTTATTTTATTTTGGGATCTGGTATTGTTTAAGTATATTTTCTCTACAGAGTTTGTTTTTTTTCTTTTCTTTTTTGGGAAAGAGAGTTTCTCTTATTATTATTCAATTATGTAAGTGTTGATTGATGGATCTCCTATTTCTGTTAAAGCTTCTCTTGGTAAGGCTTCTCTCTAATATCTGATGAATGATTAATTACATTATATTATTTTAAATATAGCAACACTACAAATTCAAACTTATGAACTCAAAATTTATACAGAAAAAAAAAAAAAAAAATTATTGTTCAAATTTATTTTACTCATAAACATTACACTTAATCAATTTGATCTCCACTCTATAAAAACTCAAGATAAATTATGAATTGATAAAAATAAGTTCATAACATTTTTGTTTCAAATAACCATTTATTTATTGAGTACTCCAATGTTTTCCTCATTCGAATGTTGTCGACATGTAGAATGGTACCAGTGGAAACAAACCCAGCCGAGATTCTCTATTTCAAATTATACTTATTAAATCATTAAATCATGTTTTAAATTTTTTTATTAATTTAATAGTTGTTAGTGTTGTAGGAGACAGAGGGATTGACAAATTTAATGATAGATACGTTTGGTTGAGTTTTCATGATTTATTTTAAAAAAAATTCAAAAAATTACAAAATTAATTTGACAAAAATGAACAACAAAAAGTTAATTTTGAATTTTCTAAAA